AACCAGAACTTGTGCCAAGCACTCTTCCTTTGATTCCACACATGGCTAAGAAAAAAAAAATAGCACTAGCTGTCTATGTACAGGCAGAATAAGCACAAATATTTCACGTGGCTAATGTCCACAGTAAATAAAGAAGACAGATCAATTTACACCTGTTCCTTTTTTGTGTATTTATTTACTATAATTTAAAGAACATCTGTCAAGAGAATTTCCAAAGGTTTTTGAAGCAGCTCCATAAGACAAAAATCAAACATTTCCTTAAAATGAAAACATAATCCTATTGTTAAGTGTTCAGTTTTTCAGCAAAAATCATTTGGTAAACTGAATGAAGGAAATGAAACTTAACATTTAACTCAATTTTTAGCAAAATAGAGAGGAATGAACACATTTACTGACACCCTGCCTCACTTCCTTTGAGGTTAAGAAAGTAGCTAATCAGGAAACTGTCCCCTTGAGACTGGTGTGTAGTTGTATCTAAAATGACACCAGGCTTGGTTTATCAAAGAGTGCACACAGTTCTCTATATTTATAGTAAACACATACTATCAGGAAATGGGGATATCTTGGTTTAAATTGTACCAAAGAATCATTATATCCCAAACATCTCCTGGAAGTGAGGCTGAAATTCGGAGCACAGACAACACAAAGGCTCTCGCTTCCTTGGTGAATGAGAGGATTTCACCTTGACACTGTTGCTGCAGATCTCCAAGAAATGAGCATTTCAGAACTGGTATAAACAGCTTAGCCTTTTCTTAGCATTTTGAAGAGCACGTTAATAGCCTGGCCTTTTCTGAAGGGCTTTCTTTTTCCCATAGCCAAATTTGACAGTAGACGTGAACAGTGAGTGGATGGAATCAAAGTCTGTGCTGTTTTAAAAGCAGTGTGGAGCTGATGTCATCTAGCATTGTCTTCAAAAGAATATGAGAATATTAAGTGGAAGGCTCATGAACTTACATACAGAGGGTACACTTCACTCGAGGACAGAATGATAATGCCGCACAGGAGGAAGATGTAATTCTAGATGCCCATAAAATCTATTCAGACAGCTCTTGGCTGGTATTAAAATAAATTTTAAAAAAAGAAGAAGAAAGAAAGATACAAAAGAAGAAAGAAAATAAATCTATAACTCGCAACCAAAAGAAGTTACATTAGTATTAATTTCTAGTACTCAGTAAATACTTAGTATCGAGTATGTGGAATCATGCGCTCAATGCTGGAGACGAAAGTTTAGTGGCAGTACTGCCGCCGGGGAAGTTTTGTTAAAAAGAAACCAAGAGGAATACGGAAATGTAATAAAATTAGCCAAAGTAAATGAAATGTGCATTAGGACTCAGCGTTCATAAAGAGAAGTGGAAGCCGTCCCATCTCAGCAGGACCACATGCAATCGCACCCACACCCAGACTGCATAAGTTATTTCAAAGAGCTCTTTGAGGGTCTACCTGTTTTATGCTCTACCCTGTGATTATGAACACACTAGCATATATTTAGGGAGGATTACTGATTAATTTTAAAAAATGTCTCAGCAAGTTCCCTGGAGCAGTTCCTGCTCAAAGGAAGAATAGGCCCAGAAGTTGGGAATTTTATTGGCTATTGTGGCAGAGAATACTTTTCCCAAATGGCTGCAACGACAGCTTCCACCCACACGCCCTTCTTACAGTTCAACTGGGACACTCTTCCCACAAAGAGGTGGAGTCTGCCTAAATGGGGAGGAGTCATTCCGGAAACTCGCAGGCTTGGCATAAATGCCTGGTTCTCTTGGGAGGCTCATTCTTGAAACCCGGCCACCATGCTACGAGGAGGCCCAATCAACCACAGAGAGAAGTCACAAGTTGTATTGTGGCCCACAGCCCATGCCAATGGCCACTGGCAAATATCAGACCAAGAGAATACTCAGTGATTCCAGCTGAATTAGCTGCCACTTTCAAGTTTTTCCCAAGCAATCTTCAGATACCATGGAACAGATACATTGTCCCAACATGTCCTTCACAATGACCTAATAAAGTGGTACTTATTTTATGACACTGTGTTCCTTTTCTCTTTCTGAGACAAAATATCTGACACCCAAAGTTGAAAGAGCAAAGGTTATTTATTTAGCTCACAGTTTGTAGAGGTTTCAGGCCATAATCAGCTGTCTCCGAAGCAGGGTGGCACGTGGCAGAGGAGCAAAAGTTCACAGAGAATCAAAGAGAGCAAAGTAACAAGAAACCTTAAGAGCACCTTCCTGCCTCTTTTATCTTATCCAGACTACCAGGATTAGGGCGGTGCCCTACCAGTTCACTGCTTTAGTAATCACATGCCCTTACACAAAAAATACCTCTACTAGGGTGTCTGCCCAACAACTAAGCTGTTTAGCCTTGGACTGAGACTAACTTTGTTCCTGATATTTGTAGAATTATTGCTTCAAAACAGCCTCATTTTGCCCTTAAGAGCCTTCACTGGTGCCAATCCCTCTGGGCTTGTCCACACGTATTCCCACTGCAATATTCCTTCTCGAATAAACTTATTAATCTTTGGAAGATCTGTCTGTTACTGAAGTTGATACCTAAGTGTTAATTTTATCTTCATTTTACAAAGAAGACCACGCTACTACGGTCAAACAACTAGCCTAAGATTATCCAGCTCAAAAACAGCACCAGTGGGACAGGATCTGGAGCCAGGCTACTTGGGGACTGCCTACCCATTAACCACCAAAGCTTCCACTCCTTAATCGGACTCTACCCGGACATACAGAGCATTGAGCCCCTCTGCCTGCATGGCCAAGGGTCCACAAAGTGAACAGGCCACACAGTGCTGGCTTCAGGATGATGATGATGGTTAACAGCAGGCTCTGGAGGCTGCAGGTTCAGGCTTCAGCAGCTACCACTGTGACTCTCTTAAACTCGTGCTCCCTCTCTTCACACGAAACCATCACTCATTGTAGAGCCACAACCACTGTCTTCTCCATATGTAAGGACCAGTCCATCCCTTGTTTCTGGAATGTCAGTCTCTTCAAGACAAGGGCTCTGACACCTCTGACTCCCTCCCCTGGGTCTAGACTGGACACCTGAACACAGCTGCAGCTTGTAAAAGTAGATGGCTGATTTTTGTTTGGTTTGTTTTGCTTTGCATTAACTTCTTTATCTTTGCATCCAGAGCTTTCAGGATGTGCCCTATTTTCTGCATTGTAAGGAGCAAATCCATAAATCATGCCCTCACCACTGTGCCTACTGCCAAAGCAGACTTGTTTTTTGCCTCTTTTTCCCATAGTCTCCCTAGTGACAGCAAAATGCTTCCATGAGTGACCTTGATCATATCTGTACTTTCCTAAGGGTACTCTACCACCTGCCAATTCCTCCAAAGTAATCAGAACTTTTAACCGTGGGCCACTAACTACATTTCGCAGAAGGAATACAGTGGTGAACCTCTCTAAAAGATACACAAAGAAGTTCGTCACCTGCAGAGCTGTGCTGAGAAACTGTTGGAGGAACCAAGGAGTGTGTTCAATTCTCAGACCTCTTTTTCCACTCTACTGTAATTGCTTCTGTAATTGTTTCCCTTCTAGCCCGTGAGCCTCTTACAGGCAAGGGCACTGGCTTTTCCCTGTGGATCCCACAGCCTAGCACAGTGACTTTTACAGAGGAGGTGCTTCTCAAATGTTTCCTGTACAACTGACTAAAACTGATGGTCCAAAGTCATCAGCGGCAAAGCAATCCAGAACTACCTCTGGAAGATGTATCATGAGCCACTCGCTCATTAAACATTTGCTGAACGTCTTCTGGGGCCCCAAAGCTGGACAAAGCACCTTTATTATGGGAGATCCTATCCTATCGGCACCAGTAGAAGAGTATGGAAGAAAACCATCGTAAAATAGTTCAATCCAAAACTGCTAACCCCAGAGATAGAAATCAGGGGCTTAAGAACGAAGTGATGAGATGAAGGCATCTGATTCAGATCAACACGGGTTAGATGTGTTCTTACTCTTGTTTTCCATCATAAGATGTTAGCATTGAAAAGCTGTCGTTTCAGCTGACGCGCAGAGTCCTAGGAGGTCATAAGGGGTACAAAGGTATCTGTAGTCACATGATAGAATCAATACCTTAGACAAAATCAATGATGAAAATGACTAAATGAACTAAAGTATGTTAGGACTGTGAAATAATTATTTTAATCACTAGCATGTGGATGATGTCAATATCTTGTCAAGAACACATTAAAATGAAAATTCTAAATATCAGACATAAAAGGATATGGGCATACTAAATTAAGCCACGCAAAAATGAATGTACAGCGGGTGTGGTGGCGCACGCCTGTAATCACAGCTCTCAGGAGGCTGAGGCAGGAGGATTGCTACGAATTCAAGGACAGCCTGGGCTACATAGTTAGACCCTGTCTCCAAAAGAACAAAGAAAACAATGAATGTACATTGATGATGCACACAAAATTACAGAGTTAAGTTACTGGAATTTAACTATCATTAAGGGTTTTTTTCTGGTAGGTTTAAAATATTTTTGAGAAAACATGTTACAGTGTGTTCAACAGGAGCTTGAGAATAACGACAGACTACACACTATAGCAGTGCAGAATTAGTCAGCTTTCTCTTAATACAACAAATACTTGAGAAAATCAGCTTATAATGAGAAAAAGTATATCTAGGTTCACAAGGTTGGTGGTTTCAGGCCATGGTTGGGTGGTTTCAGACCATTGCTTTTATGCTTATGGGGACAAGGGTGGCTTGATCAGTAGTCACATCTAATGGTCACTGATATTCCCTGATTACCACTAAGAAGGTTAGCAAGGACATTAATTCCCTTCTTTCATGGCCTTGCTATTCTCAGTCTCTCTCTGTCACAACCTGTGTGTCACAAGGCTTATTTTAATTAAGAAGAGGTAACATAAGTAAAAGTAGTTTGTAATAAGCATGTTCAGTAAGGAATCCAATTGTATAGCTGGATCTTGTAATGGTGACAAAAACAGCTGCACTGAAGCATGTCATTTTTTTTTTTTTTGTCTCACAATTTAGGTAATTCTTGGGATAAGTTCCTAAATGCCTGCATTCTGTCCCAGGACTTCTAGGTAAGCCTTGTTCTCATGAGAAGAATGAGATTCGAGTGGGAGGTGTCTTCTGTGGACAAGTGACTGTCACCCTGGGGTCTTGGAGTGGGATCCTGCACACTGATCTGATTCCTATGGATTCAACAATAATTTACATTATGGGCAAGGAAAATGGTTCCTGTTTTTTCTTACCCCTTTCAGACTTTTCAAAAGCAAATTCAGATGTTAAAAATTTAATTGAAATTGGTTGGGTAGGAGATGAAGCATTCACACGTGGAGGGCAGAGGTGGGGCAGGGATGGTGGGATAATGACAGAGATGTTTCAATCGCCGATATTTACTAAACATTTATTTGTATGACGCCCAATGACAAAGACTTGACCTATGTTATTTCCTTGAATTCTCATAGTAACTGTGAGAAGTTGGTGTTACTACCTCATTTTACAAATAAGAAACTGAAGCTTAGAGAAGTTAAATGACTTCCCTGAGGTTATACAACTGTTAAGACTCAAACTTGGGATTCCAGCCCAGATCTGTTAGAAGCCAAAACCCACTGACATTATTCAGCAAGCATCTTATGTAACAAGTGTATATATGTGTGTGGGGGGGGGCTATTTCTAACTACAGTTTTTCCAAAATTAGATTTAAGCTACATTTTATCATCAATGCCTGCCTCAGAAAATCTATTATCTCTAGAATAAAAAATTAAGTTCCCCTTTTTAAAAGATGGAAAAGGACATGAACAGTTAAGTGAACATTTTAAAAAGCAAAGATTAAATTTCAGGCGTACACAACTAACGGGAAGCAGGGCATAGTGGTGCACACCTGTAATAGCAGCATTCTGGCAGGCTAAGGCAGGAGGACTGCAAGTTTCAGCCCATCCTGGCAGGGTAACCTAGCAATTTAGCAAGACTTCCATCTCAAAATTTAAAAAATAAAATAAAAGATGGCTGGGGACATAGCTAAGTGTGAAGGCCCTGGATTCAATCCCCAGAAACCACACACACAAACACACACACACACACACACACACACACACACATTCAACTCAACAGAGACTGATTGATATGATGTAAGGCACGGTGAGAATTCAGTGATGAAGGCAGCATCACTACTGTCCCCAGAAGCAAATAGTCTAACAGAAAGGACACAGGACAACATTTCAGATCTTACGGCAAATGTCATCTTTTCAGAGAGAGATTCTCTAATCACTGTATCTAAACTGGGACCTCACTCCCTGTTACTTCCTATAAAGGCCCCAGAGGTAAATAATTTAGACTTCACAGGCCATGCAGTCTACATCAAAACAACACTTCTTCTTGTGCAAGTGAGGAACCAGCTATGGGTCGTAAGGACACAAATGAGCGAGACTGTATTCCAAGAAAGCATTATTTAAAAAACAGGCAGTGACCCAGGCGCAGTTTGCAGGGTGTAGTGAGCCAGGTGCTACTCTAATACATAGCTCCAATTCATTTTGCTTTTTAGTGCTTAGAATCTGAAATTTTCTTGTTAATTTGTTAACTTCCTTCCATTAAATTAGCAGGTCCACACAGAAAGGTGCTTATTGCTTCTCACAGCTGGCTCTCCAGTGCCTAGGAAGGCTTTCCTGACTCAACGAGAGCTCACTCTGAATTTGAGCTGACAGAGTATATGAATGAACTTCATTTCATCACTGTTAACAAACATGAAATATACTCAGCCTTAATAATTAAAGTAAAACAGTGATAAGCTATGTTTCACTTGTCAGACTTACAACCATCTGGAGAAGGAGGAGGAGGAAGAAGAGGTGAAGGACGAGTGCACACAAATATGTGGCTAAACTAGTCCTCTTCTCTATTGCTGGGAGAGAAAATTGGTGCAATATTTCTGATGGGCCATTTGCAATCACATATCAAAGTCTACAGACCAAGTAAAAAATGGGCAAACAACAGAATCGTTATTTCCCTAAAGAACATAAGTGGCTGATAAAAGATGTTCAACATTACTAGTCATTAACACTAAATACATCAAAATCACAATGAGATACCACGTTATACCCATTTGGGTGGATATTATTAAACAAAACAAAGGAGAACAACAACAGCTGGTGTGAACGTGGAGAAACCCCGAGCATTGGTGGTAGGAGTATAATGTACAGCTGTGAGAAGAACAGCTTGGGGGAATCCTCAAAAAGTTAAACAGCGTTACCCTGTGATCCAGTAACCCCCCCTAAGTACAGTATATACCCTGAAGAATTAAAAACAGGGACTGAAATAGACACTCATACACTTTTATTGACGGCAGAATAATTTACAATAGGAAAAAGGTGAAAGCAACCCAAATGTCTATTAACAGACATACGCAAAAGCGAATGTGGTATTACAGATGCAATGGAATATTATTCAAATTTAAAGGAATAAAAACTGAGATTGCAACCAAGCCGATAAATGTGAAAACTTTGTTCAAATGAAACAAGCCAGACACATAAGGACAAAAGCTGTACGACACCATTTCTGTGAGAGGCCTAGGAAGGGCGGTCACACGGAGAGCAGAACAGAGGTTACCAGGAGCTGGGAAGGGGACTGGTGAGGAGTGGGGAGGTGATAATGTAGTTGGTACAAAGCCTTATTTGGGATGATGAAAAAGTTCTAGAGATGGAAGATGGTCACACAGCATTGTGAACGGACCTAATGCCGCTGGGCTGTCTCCTTTCAAATTGTTAAAATTATAAATTTCGTATTGTGTGTATTTGATTTTACCAAGTTTTTCATTTGTATTATAGTATATGCAGATTTTTAATTCAAAATCCAATTCCTAAGACTTAACTCAGGAGATAATGCCCAGGGTGAGATACATATGCACCAATCTGTCAACCTCAAGGTCCACCAGGAAATATCTATGTACACAGTGTCTGGCACGATAAATACACAAAAGAGACTATTTTGCAAGCATTAAATATGACAGGGTAGGGTGTTTCAGATAAAACAATCTCCATTGCGTTACTGTTCAATAAAAAAGCAAGTTACAGAATGCATGTAAAGTATGATCCTGCCAATGTAAAAATTCTAGATATTCTCCAAATGTCAACTGGGGTTATCCTCTCAGTGATGGATTTAAAAATGGTTTTCCAATTGCTCTCTTCATAATTTTCCAGACTAGTTGAATTTTTTATAAGGAATATTTTAAGCAAAGCAAAATACGCCATTGCAAACTCATAGTCATTGCTTTTCACGTTAATTAAGAAAGGTGAGGCCTTGATACTTGCAATTAGACATTTTCTGTGTTTCCTTTTCCATAGCAACGATACTTGTGAGTGAGTCAGAAATGTCTGAAAGGAGAGGAACCTACCTCGGTCAGTGGTGTTAGCTCTCTGTCATGCACAAGGAGAGCTCTTATTTCAGAGCAACATCCAATTATCATGTTCTAGAAATAAGAAGGAAATATAGTAAGGTTGATACTACTGTAGACACTGTATATTACATTGTAAACTTATTTTATTTGTCTTGTTTTTTAATACCCAACTCTAATTCTGAGGATAAAGCAGAAGGACTCAGAAATTACAATTCTTAAGTAATTAGGGTTATTTGAAAAAAATGATAGCCAAAAATATAAGATCTGCAATTAATCAAGAACAATACATTATTTTCGAATTCTGTGTCTATTCATTGCTGAAAGTCATGTGTTACCGGGGAATCACAAATACAGTAATTTGCACCAAAGCAAGACTTTCAGAAACTGCCTTTCTTCTGAGAAGAAAGCCTTGGAATAAAGAGATTCAGGCCTCAGAAAAGGGTTCACCAAAGAGGAATGACTGGAAGTTGGGCATGAATAAGGAGAGGGAATGGAAGGAAAGGCTCAGAGGCAAGAGCACGAATACACTGCCTACCAATGACACTGCCCACGGCCTTGACTCTTGGGACACAGCAAGGGATATGTGGGGGCAGCTGACCCAAGGCAGACGGACCCAGAGCCAGAGGTGAAACGCTTCCTTGTTACGTCATCGTGTACGGAAGGACGACAGAGGAAAACTACAGTCAGTGCGAGCTGTGCGAGCTGAGAGATCACAGGGAGGTGGGGAACGGAGCCACTGAGGCAGATGTGAGGGCTAAGAGGAAGCCTCTGAGACGAGGGAGAAGCTAGGCCCCTGCCCACTCGTGTGCCACCGTGGCTCCTGCATCTCTGGTTCCACTTTCTGTAAGGCCCACATCCTTGTAAGGAACCCATCCTTGGTGCTGCAAAAGCTAACTTCTTGCACTCTGCCACATTTGTGCTTCCTCCCTCCTAGCCTGTTTTACCTGAGCGAGTGTCATTTTCCTTACAACTAAAACAGTCATGACTATGAGACCACCAGAGATCAGCTACGCCCACCCCACAATGCTCCCAGCACGCAGCCCCAAAGGAAGCAGCCATTTGCTTTATGTAGTAGTACATACATGTACTAGCATTCAGAACATCAACATGATAAAATACATTAATTTTAAAATTATGACTGAGTGATGCTGGTTAAAACCTGAAAACAAAGTGGCAAACGACAGTAGACCTTACAGCCCCAAACCATGTTATATCTAAGTTTTAATAAGTGTGTAAACATGGAAACGATCCAATTCCAGAGTTACAAAACTACAGCTAATTCAATTCCTTTTAACAAATGTATGCAAGATATTATATTAAGTCCCATGCGACACAAAGATGAAGAAACATAAAATCCTCAAAATATCTGTAATTACTGAGAAAAAAGGATTAAAAACCCAACTAAATTAGGTACCAAGCAGAATATGCTCAGCTGACCTATTACAGGACCCTAGAGGAGGAAAGAGTATGATATCTCAGTATGATAAACAAGGAGGACTTCTTGGAAGAAGGTTCACGGAGCTGAGCCTTGAAAGAGTCAGGGGCTTTCAAGCAGAGTGGGGGGACAGAGGTACCAGGTGGCGAGAGCTATTTAGGTAACAAGCAGGGGACATTCGGGGAACACAGGAGATCTGACACCGCCTCTATCTGCAGGTGAGTCTTGGAAGCACAGCGGTGCAGGTGGTGACAAACAGGCCGACAAGCACATTTATAAGAAGAACTTATTCAAGAGTGAGGAGTTTAGCTTTTATTGCAGGGAACTGGACAGAGATTGCCTTTAAAATTTTTCTGACCGTGCCTTAAAGGCAAACTGGTCTGGAAAAAGACAAGTGAGAGACAGAGATCAGCTAGGAGGCCACTCAGACTGTCTGGACACAGTTGATTTTGGCTGGAAATGGCAGGGCCCCGTGGTACTAAAAATGGTGGAAGGCAGGCAAAAGGCCCACAGCACCGAACAGGATCACCCGATGGCAAACCTTCCAGGCTCCTGGCTCACTGGACCAGACAGAGAGGAGCACACACCTACTCCTGTAACTCTGCCTTCGCTATAAATCTATATTCCTCACTGAGTTCCCGGGCCTGGCTGAAGTATGTTTTCTTGCAGTAACAGCCATGATTGGTTACTGCCCTAATTCCATCACGAGCTATCAAGGAGAATGATACTGACCGTATCATTAATCACCTCACGTAACACATGAAGGGGCGACATTACCCTGATAGATGCCGTCGGACACCTGTCTCAACACTGGTCAAAAAGAAATCCCCTCTCATCCACAGTCGATTACTCTGGCATTATTTGAGGAAAACCACATACACACACTGTGAGACTGGCTCATCTGAGGCTGGGGCTGCGAACCCCTCCTGTGACCTTGCTACCACAGACGCAGAGACAGGCAGAAAGCAGAGCTCATCAGTCGAAGTCAGAAAGTGGCCGGAAGCATGCTGTCGCTGGTGAGGGGCAGGACTGTCTCTTGCTCAGTTTTTGCTAAGTCTCCCTTCAAAACAACATTTGTCGAATTTACGCAGATGGCCCCTGAGTGACTAAAGCTTAGAGGTGCAGAGGTTACAGTTCTCCTGCAGCCCCTGGATTGCTCTTGAGAAGGTTGCTATAAAAAGTGCGAGCCTATCCTGCTATGCCCTTCCTCTGATCCCAAGTCAAGGTGTGACCCCTCTTCAGTTGGCGCTGCACCACCTGCAGTCCACCACAGGCCCTTGCTAGAGCCATGCTGCTCCATGCTGTTCAAATCTCCAAAACACGAGCTAAATAAACCTCTTTTCTTTATAAGTAGTCTGCCTCAAATTTCAGTTACAAAAAAACAAAACAAAGCAAAACAAAAACTGGCTGTTATGGTTGGAGAAAAGATTTAGGAATTCTGCTGTGTGTGATTAAAGGAATCACCTACAGATCTTCCTAAAAAAGACTCCATATAAAGAATAAGAAAAGGGCTAAAGGTGTAGGGAGGGTGGGATGGGTAAGGGAAGGGTAATGAGGGAAAAGAAAACAATGTGAGAAAATGAAAAGATGGAAATAAAGTGTTTGTAAATGGGGAGAGGAGGAGAAGGTGAAGGGAGGGCAGGGACAAGGGGAAAAAATTAGATCAAGACCTGTCATGTAGAGGCACAAGATCCCAACAATGAATGTAACTGTACTGTATACCTAAAATGTACCAATAAACTCAATTTAGGAAAAAAAAAAAGAATAGCTTCAAAGGTCAAATTTTGTGAGTGCAACAATTCGCTAAGACAGGGCTACCAGTGGCTCAGATCACTGTGCATGACCTACACACACACACACACACACACACACACGCGCGTGCGCATCATTAAGCTCCCCCATGACAGACACCCAGTTGTACTGATTTCTATATGTCTTTACTTCCCCAAGCCTGGAAAACAAGTGGTTTGTCAGAAAGAATTTGATAATTTATGTTAAGTCAGATTGTATTTTGGTCTCTGCTATCACAGAATTTCAATATTTGTGCTCTATTAGTTATATACTAATTTTAATTGCCTTGTATCATCTAGGCATTACATAAATATTTGCTGAACTAACTTTATATAACTTGTAAAACATTTCTTAAGCTTCCTCTATCAGCATCTATCGTTCCACATGAAGTGTTTGCATCTTAAAATCAGGACAGTTTGCATCTTTCCAGGGCTTTAAAGCACCTGATATGCTCTGAACATACCTGTAAGCTGTGAATGACAGATTTCAACAACTCGGCTACAATACACTAGTGCAGGTCAGAAAGAAGCACAAACTTTTCAAGCCAGAACTGACTATAACACCTGTTCTGCAGCCCTCTTAATTCATCTTAAATTAATATCATGTTCTAAAGCTCTGGGCTTATTCTGGATCCTAGATATTTTGAAAAGAAAGAAAGAAAAAAGGAGGGGACTGAGAAAGAATAAAGGAAGGGATTCACTACTTCACATATCAGCCAAAGGCGCATTTCTGGCTTCTTACATCCAATAACCCACCAACAATATACACTGAGATAGAAAAAGATTATAGAAGCTATGAAATTACATCCAATTCAAGACCAGAATCGATCTCTTCAAGTGTCCTAGTTAACTTCTAATTAGCTCTAAGAGAAGGTTGGCATGACAACAAACTAGCAAATTTAGTCAATGAGGTTTATTTGATATAACGCAGACTCTAGTTTTTTTTTTTTTTTTTTTAAGTGCTGGTTGGTATGTTGGGAAAAAAGAAAAATCTATATATTACTTCCATTTCTCAACTTTTAAATGTTGTGAGTGCATTCGTTCGCCTATTCACCTAAACACATATTAGTATTTCTTCTATCTGGTGATGTTCTTTAATATACAAAACAAACAAGAGCTGGAATGGATCCAAAATGCTTTATTTTAAAGCCAAAGAAACATTTTCAATTCAAAAGCAAAGAGAATATCAAGATTTAAAACAGCTTGTTTGGCCAGGTGTGGTGGCATAGTAATCCGAGTCCTGGGGAGGCTGAGACAGGAGGATCACCGTGAGTTCGATGCAAGCCTGTGCTACATAGTGAGTTTGAGACCAGACTGAAGTACAGTAAGTTCCTGACTTATGAATGAGTTCCATTCTGGGATAATATCTGAAAGTCAGATTTACTCATAAGTCTGGCAAAGTGAGTCTTATACTGTATTTTCATTTTCGTTTCCACGGTTATTGCTTTGTCTTCCTAGCAGTCCCCTCCATGTCACCACTACTTTTCCTCCTCCTTCTGAACATCCTGGGCTCTGATTGAGCACTGTACTACTAGACACTACCACACCGTACAGGGAGCACACGGCAGCACAACTGTGACAACGTCCAGTAGACGCAGGAGCTACTCCCCTAGTCTGTTCACATCTACGAATGCTCGATGTGAGGTCCCTCATATCTGTGAAGGTTCGCAACTTGCATGTTCGTAAGTCAGACTTACTGCACATGGTGAGACCCTGGCTAAATCAAAACACAAAACCAGTTTGTTCTGCTCCACAGCTGACCTACTCACATATGCCCTTCAAGTCAGGACACAAAAGCAAGCCACCAACCTTTACTAAAGCAAGGCAGCCCCTGGCTTCCCTCTTCCACTCACCTTGAGTCTCTCAGAATTTTACCCTACAGCTGACTGCAGAGGATATTCTGGGATTCTACCCAAAAAGCCCTACTTTCACAGCAGTATTTGAGTGAAAAGATCATTTATTTTAGGCATGAGAGGAAAATTAATTCCCAGAAAGGGTAATTGACTAGCTCCCTAGAATCCTTAGTCTTACAGACTTTGTCCTGTCTCAGATAACCTAAATCGAAAAGACATAATCATTTCCCACATACAAACTAGGTACAAGTGGGTAGAGGGACAATTTTGTCAAAGAATATTCTGAGCTATGGCTGAAAGACTGCAATCTGATAAGTTTCTCTGCAACTGAAAAACTGTCATTGAAAGTACTCTACAAAAGCAGTGTGAAAATGAAAAGAGCTCTGAATTCTTGGAAACAGATATGAGAGGGTAACATACACTTTATAAAAGAAATATATATCTATGTATAAAATCTCCTGAGTTTGAGGCAGTTTGAGCTGTCAGACCTGTTCGAGGGTTTATTGTAAGTACTCAGTACTGTATATCAATAAGCACCCTAATATACGTGGTAGCATCTGAGGACACTAAAAAGGATGTAAAACCAAGATGCTAAGACATCTGTTCTATGATAAATCCAGAAATGGAGCACAGAAGATGTAAATGCTGGCAAGTGGCATTTTGCAAAGGCTAACTATACTTGCCTGATAGATTCTCTTACATCTGCACCAGTCCCTTGCATAATGAAAAATGCATTTGCTCACTCCACATCAAGACTGAAAATGCCAAAGCCTACTGCCCAGAAAAGTTGCCAACTTTTACATTTTCACATGAGTGCATGGATGAAGTAAACAAGAAAACAAAGAACCATATTGATAATGGTGCTTAACAATTAAAAGCATTCTGTTATTGGTAACCAATTAAATGTTGACCTAGCAGGAAATGGCCTAAGAAAAACAAATCTACCAAACTAAAAATAAAGAGAACAAAAGCAGGATAGGAACTCAACCAGGAAAGTAGCAAAGGGAGGCTCAGAATAGAGCCACACAGCACACACTGAGAGCAGCCAGGCTTGGACTGGAGTGGGAGAAGGCAGATCCCAGGAGGAAAACAGAATTGTGGCAGTACGTGGTGGGTATGAACTGTGGGTAAAGATCTACACTCAGACCCATAAAAGATCAGGGTAACGAACAGAAAAAGTTAAGGATAAATGCAAGTCAAGAAAATAAAACAGGGCTATAGCTCAGTAGTAGAGCACTTACCTACCATGCACAAGGCCCTAGGTTCAATCCCCAGCACTGCAAAGGAGAGGGAGAAGGAAAGAAGGGAGGGAGGGAAGTAGGCAACTAAGTAAGATATAAAATTAAGTAAGATAAAATAAGTAAGATAGAAATTAATATATAGTCAGAGAAGGACTGGCTCTCAAGGAAGTCATCTGAAAACTGAGACATCAGAATTGTGGCTGGAGGTGCATCTGAAGAAGACCAGGCCTCCAGATAAAGATACAGCAGCCAGACCTGCATGAGTCCCCAAAGGATAAGCAGTAATTTGGAATTATACCATAATTAGCACCACCTGATCTAGGAAGTCCAACTAGGCATCAGCCGCCTAGGTGGGTAACCAAAGCATCTGGTCGCATCCCTTCCCCGAGACGCCTTTGTCCTTTCTGTGTACCCTTGCTATGTGACCTGCTTCCTTCCCAAGGATCAATGTTTAAGCAGCTTCACTTGTAATCTTATTGGACGATTATATTTTGACCCACACTGTTGTACCCACCTTGTGATTTTGCTCTATAAAGCATGGTTACAGAAATGACCTCAATGACAGTCTACTTCCAGGAGCCCTCCTATCCCTCAGAAGCTATCTCTCAATAAACCTTCCCTACGCTTAACCTCTGTCCTTCGGAATTCATTCTTTGATTTCAGGGCACATTTACATCTTGCAGATTGGGAGTTATATTTCTCCTATATCAGAAGGAAAGAAGGAAGGGAGGGAGAGAGGCAAACCAAATGTCTAAGAAAGGAAAATAACCACAGTACACTACTTGACTCAGTTGTAAACATTATTTACATGGTCATAATAATGTAAACACTAAATATTGGTCTAATAAATTCTGTGATGTAACAATATTAAGAAAAAAGGGAAAAGGAGAAGTTGGAAATAATAATTTAATCCCTGTATACTGTAACATTAAATCAATGGATACCTCAAGAAAAAAACAAATATTGTCATTAGCAACATTCAAACATATTTCTGGCTTTCCTACTTCCAAGATGGTAGTAGCAAAACTGTTGATACGGAATGTAACTTTATTGGGCCAAAAATTTTGTTTGTTTGTTTGTTTTATTTTGTTGAGTCTTACTATGTAGTTGAGAGACTGACCTGGAACTCACTATGTAGCCCAGGCTGGTCTCGAACTTACAGCGATCCTCATGCCTCAGCCTCTGAGTGCTGGGATTAAAGGCGTGCACTACCACTTCCGGCTCCAACAAATGTTAATGGATGAGATAGGATGGAAATTTGAAAAGCCAGCATGTGATTTTCCTTTGAGATTCCATATAATGGCTGTGCCACCAGCCTTGGTGCTGGCATGAGGAGATGTAGAACAGGCCTCTACTGACCCATTAAGATTTCAAGGGAGTTTGTTACTTCACCTTTTGTGACCAGTACTGCACACTACTTATAGATGTTGAAGCCAATAACAAAAGAAACACGCACATAAGTTGAAAGTGGTTGCCTCTGCCAAACAGCACTGTAAAATGAAAAGAGCCTGAGCAGATGATTCCTTTTCATTTTAGGGCATTTAGAACTATTTGGTCCTTTCAAGAATGTCCACAGTAACTACAGACTATACATCAAGAAAGAGGATTACTATACAAAAGGAAATGCATATATCGAGTGATTAGGGAAGAACATGCATTTTCTACCCCTACCCCATAGAGGGTAAGGAATTTCCACACTTTTCCCAAAGAAAAGGAACAATTCAGCTGCTTTTGGACCCATTACCCCAGGAGAAAGGAACAACTTATCTGATGGGTAAGTTTGGGAGAAGCAAGGAGAAAGCAAAGCTCCATTCCCTCAGGGCAACCTTTGTTTACATGTTTTGGAGGCACCCTACCTGCAGGACTATTATTCTCTGCTTCCTCCATGCCTTAAGCTTGGCAGGGCGAAGAACAGGGACCAGGAAGCTCCGTGGTTGCACATCTACGCTAGACGACTACATGCCTACATGGGCAAGTCTGGCTAATTCCATGGTAAAATATGACTAAGCTCATTTGGCCTCAGACCCACACATATCAGCTTTCTGAGTAATGAAGTTGATATTTCAGTCTCTTTAGGTCTGTCTCTTGTGTCCAGTTTCTCAACAGGTTGGTTCAGTGCTCCAGACCAGTAGAAGGAAAATGATCCTCTTCTCTCCTCCAAAACACAAATTTCCCTTGGCACAAAACCCACTCTGTGTTCAGATTAATAGTTCAGTATAAGGCTAAGAACCTATCCCCGTGTGGGTGAAAAAAATGCATATGCATAAAATATCTGAAAGAACATATGCCTATTTATATTTTTTTAGTTTTTATTTATGTAATTATGTAATAGAAATGTTTAAATCATAAAGTTAAAATGTAAAAGTAACTTTTTTTTTTGGTACCAGAGATTGAACTTGGGTCCTTGCGCTTGCAAGGCAGGCAGCGGAACCCCTGAGCTAAAGCCCTAACCCTGTAAAAGTAATTCTATAGAGTTACACAACATCGTTTCTTGGGGTTCACAATTATACTGAACTGTTTCTCTAGATTTGCTTTTTATTTTTAACTCACTATGAGATTCTTGTCACGAGCATGCTCAGAAGAGCTTTGAAGGAAACAATTCAAGTGTCAAAAAGCTGGGCCGTATCTGGTATGATAAGTAAAGAAAACAGGAGAGAATCATGAAGTTCAAGTTTAGTTATATACTGCTACTTTTATGAAGTAAAAATAAATTCTTATGTGTAATGGTGCACACCGTGCAATAGCAATGTCATTTTCTATTATTTAATAACTTACTTCTATATCTGTATCAATCGGCTTTTCCTCCATTTCTTTTGTTTCATATACGTCTTCATCTGAAGTAATTTCAGGAATTGATGGCAATGATATTTCAGCTATTTGTGCAAGATTAGATAGCTTCTCGTGAATTGAAATAACTCTAAAAATAAAAATATATATGCATTTTATTTGAAAAGTCAGGAAAGGCACTGGCTTATTCTTAGGGCCAGTAAGATGTATGAATACAGCTTCATTTTCCAGATTTCTGGCATTCCCAGACATCATCCACTTGCTTATTCCTTCATTCAAGAAACATTTGCAAAGAAGTTAAGGGGCACAATCCTAACTCTCAGAACATTCCCGGTCCATGTATGCAATAAGGTTCACATATACTACAAACTTGGCAGGGCACAATGAAAAGAAAGGTACACCACAAATTACGGCTGAAGGTGAAAATAAAGAAAATAAGGCCAGGGCTGTAGCTCAGTGGCACCTCGCCTGCCTGGCAAGCCCAAGGTCCTGAATTCGATCCCCAGTATGGGGGGGGTAAATAAATATCACACAGGCTGGGAAACTGTAGGTGATTAATGCTATGTGAATCTTAACACCACCATGCTATGGTTGTCTGGCTGAAGGAAGGCAAGAGGTTTGACAAATTAGCAAGGATGGAAAAAGCCAATCAGTGAGCCTGCTGCATGTCATGTATGGGGCAGGGATAGGAGAAGAAGGGAGCTAGGGAGGAAAATCAAGAGAGAAGGAAAAGTAAGAGCCAAAGAAGAGGCAGCGGTCACAGTGGCAACAATACTGGAGATGCAGAATATCACAGGCCCCCACCAGTGAACAGCGGCCACTCCAAGGACAGAGGTGGACCAAGGGACTGAGACTAAAGGTAGACAGTTTGCAATGGAAGGGGGCAAAGACTCACCTGTGTGGTTCTTAGTGACACCACGCTATGGACACAGCACAGGTGTATGTGCCTTTCTCCATCCGAGGAGGAAGGGACTCATTCAGGAGAATAATAAAGGATCAAAAATCCCACTGGCATCAGCAGTACATACAAGTACGTTGATGATGGTTCTCAGCAATACAATGTTAAAAATCTTTAATTATACATGAAGACTTTAATTGATATAGTGTACTTTAGAAACTTTTCTATGACAGAGTCAACCGTCAACATATAAAGATTTGTTGCTAACAGCTTATATGGAAAATGTGTCCACTTATAAAATGGATCATCCCCAGTATCACTGGGAAAGCTGCCTGATGCACTGGAGAGAGGACAGAATCAACACTCGGGTCACATGTGGCTCCATCACTCACTAGTCACGCGACCTTAAGGGAGCCATTTAACCTCTCTGACCCCACCATTTCTTCTCCTGCAACTTGGAATGATAAAACCCACTTTATCTAATTCACCAGGCTTCTGAAAGGAGGAAATAATATAACTATATAAATTCTCAGCCATAAAAAAACACATAAAGAAAAGATGGGATTCTAAAACACCATTCACTCTTCATTCAAATACCTGGAGGAAAAAAAATTATTTCTCTTCCCAAATGGCACAGGGCTGAGTGGAACAGCACTTGTGCGGCATGCACAAGACCCTGGATTCAATCCCCACCTTCTCTGGCTGGGCCAGCTCCCCAGGGCCTTGCCTCTCTCAGGTTCCTGGGCCTCCTCTCACCCAGTGTGCGGTGGCCTGGAGGGTAGAGCCTGCTGGAAGTAGATACTTGAGTGACAGGAGGTTTAAAAACAGAGATAGAGGGCAGAGGACTCCATCTTGATCACAACCGTGTAACTACCGCTTAGAGCTACACAGGGACTCTCATGAGTTCACTAACAAACTTTATTTTTCGTCTGTTGTAAGAAAAAAAATACAAAATTTAAAAATATTTTTCTTTATGAGAATGTAAATGGGAGTTTAAAAAAAAGTTGACAACGAAAGGAGAATTTTCTCTGGCTTATTATTTATTTCAAACCCAATGCATCTCCATGTTACTTTCTAAAGGATGAGTGACTACCAACCATGACCTTCTCAGGAACACAGGAACGCCGCCCCAAGTGACAGAAGCAGTCTGTCAGTGCAATGACACCAAAGGACAGGTCTGCTGAAAAACTGCCAGGTGCTATTCTCCGGGACAGCCTCCAGGATAGAACTAGTTAATGTGCCAGTAACTTTGTTATTAACTATAAACACTAAAATCAAGAGCTTGTTGAAATGAAAATGAAGCATATCAGTTGTTATCTTTCTATTCTGTGGATACTATAATTATTTTCATCATGTGATTCTGAAAAAATAGTACTGCAATGTTTCTGAGATTATTAGGTAAGTAGAAATTGTCCTAATTTTGTTGCCTGGCTCTGCCGGCACATGCCTTGTATCTAGGGTTTTTTGGTTTCTTTTTCTTTTTTTTGCCATTTTTCTCAAAAAGAAAAAAGAAAGAAATCAAATAAATGGAAGTCTGCTGGCTTTTAAAATGTCCCTCGTTTAATTCTCTTTCATGGGGAGACCAAGAAATCCTTCAAAACGAGAATCCGGAGCATGGCCAGGACTCCGTGCGGGAGGAGCAGGAAGCAGCGGATCTCCGTTCACCGCTCCCCGCTAGGTGCCCGGCACAGGCAGACGCTGTGTGGGCTCTTGGCTCTCCAGAGCGGGTTCCCCTGTTGTCAGACCCGAGCCCACCGATCAGAGCCAGGCGGAGCAGGTAGCATCTTTCCCGTCCTACCACGAGGGGACTCCGGAAGCCACTGTGCCGGGGAAACGGACGGTGGAGTCGAAATTAAGTAATGAAAGAAGTTTTTAAATTAAAAAATAGGAAAAAATGGAATAGGGAAAGAGAGAAACCAACAGTGGGCAACCTCGGTGGAGAGGGCGGAGTACTCCTGGGTGGAGCAGGTTTGGGTGCAGAGGGAAGGATGAGACAAGGGAGCCGGCGGAGTCTGAGCTTCATTTTGCGACACGCGTGGGGCTATGTTGTTGAACACAACAAAATTACAGGCAAGATGTACCCCAAACAGCACCCTTGTACAACCTGCGATGTCTGTGCAGGGTCATGAACTCTCCCTCGAACCACGTTGTTAGCGCTATCTTTCCAACTGAAAAAACGAGGCACTGAGCAGCGGAAAATGAGCCACAGGAACCATTCAATGCTGTAACTTGGCAAAGTTGAGTCAAACACACTGAATCCAGAGTTCACGCTTTTGCATACTGCTTACAGTGCTCCTCTAAAGAAAACCAAGACTCTGCGCTCCTTTGCCCTTGAGTTAGTGAAGCAAACTGTCCTGACCAGAAATACCAGGAGGCTGAGCCTGCAGCTGATCGTCTTTACTTGCCTTTTCAGAGGAAGCCACAAAGAGCCAACACATATGTTGTTAGAAGTGGAATTTTTAATATCTATAATCGTCATGGGCTTTATATTATATGCATACAACAACAGAACCTGTAAGAAAAAGAAAAACATGAATATCAGAATTGCATACACCGCCTTAAAACATTCAGCATTAGTCCTCAAAAACAAAAACAAAAACACTACACTTTGCAAAGTTTTTTAAGAAAGAAAAAATAAAAACCTGAGGTTCTCTCCCACTACTTCACTTTAAAGAGAAATGATATGAACAAAAATTATGCAAAGGTAATAAGATAAAAATATAATACTGGTTGGGGATTTAGCTCAGTGGTACCACTGCCTGCCTCACAAGCGCAAGGGCTTGGGTTTGATCCCCGGTACCAAAAAAAAAGAAAAAACTATACATATACATACACATAAACATATATACACACACATATACATATATATACATATATATACACACATATATAATACTATTTGATATTATTTTACTTTTGAAGAGTGATATTCTGTACTGCAGGGAAGTTTAAATTTCAGCCTCTGAAGACCTTTTGTAGCAAGTTCTAAACACATACCTGGTGAATATACAACTTTGTTTCCTGTTCCTTTCCCTTCAGCAGTCCCACCCACGCCCTGGAGTTCCTTGATGTTGCCCCTTCCCCTCCTCTCTCCCTCCTGATGACTCAAGCTCTAGGAATCCCCCTGTTGTTCAGATGCTGACTTTCTTGGCGTCAGCCCCTACAGTGCAGCACTGACTTACAGTCACATACTCAGAGAATTTGAGATTCACAGAACCTTAGAGATGATCTTGTCGACTTCCCTCATCTTAGATCTAAGCAAACCGAGGCCCAGAGCTGGCCATCAAAACTGACTAAAGTAAGCACTTGCTTTAATCCCTGCTTCCTTGAAAATCAAACTAAAATAAAAGTCAAGATAAGCTCCCTCCCAGCCTTTCCCGGGGCCCCTGCCAGGAGACCCCCACTTTCTTTGCCATCTCTCTCTCTCGGAGGCCAAACTTCCTCCATGCTCTTGGCTGATTCTAAACCAGAGAGGATCTATACTCAGAGACATGAGGTACAGGGCTAGGCATTATAGTGAAGATATTAAAATTAATGTGTTCTGGATGACATGGATTCCTCTACCCCACCAACAGGCCCTCTTCAGAATGTACGTGCCCGGGCAGGAGTCTAAGAAAATCCTCTTTGGGGGAACTGACCAGTTAAAGAGACAGACCCACAGATGCTGACAATCCAGCATCCTCTTTAGAACTGCTGGATCCTTCTCAATTATCCTATAGGGAGAGCTCTGGATCAATAAACCGGACGCACTGTGATTTCCAGAGCCTCACTCCAAAAGTGAGTAGACAGCCAAGAGTCTCCTGGACAGAAAATGAAAGGCAGAAACCAAACAAACAAAAGAAAGGAAGTTGAGGAGTGAGACACAACACAGAGAGCAGAAGAAAACTTCAATGAAGCCACAATTAACACTCAGAGAGAAGGACATATATGAATAAAGCAGTGCAATTAAAACAGAACAATCAGGGAAGAAGAAGAAGCTCTTAAAAACACAATCACAGCAACTAAGCAACCAACAAAAGATTTGAAACATAAAGTTGAATTTATCTCCCCCAAAGTAAAACCTAAATTTAAAAGCATAAATAATAGAAAATTAAATAATCAAATATATGTTCAATATTCAAGAAGATACAAAGATAAACAGAGGGAGAGAACTGTGAAAGCAACTATCTCTGTGCCCTGAAGAGTATTACTTTCCAGATTGTGAAGGGCACCCTAAATGTCCAGCACCAGGGATGAGAGACAGACACGGAGGCACATCATAGAATTTCAGTACACGGGGCACAGAAGAAAACCCCACAGCTTCAAAGCCACAAAGACCTGAGATCCCGCCACTGGATCTATACACGAAGAAAATGAGTATGCCAAAGACGGAGCTGCCCTTTAGTGCATTTACAGCTCTATTAACAATGGCCATGGAGTCAACTTAGTTTCCATCAACTGATGGATGGGTAAAGGAAGTACATTCATAATGGGATATGTTTCAGCTATGTAATGGGATGAAATTCTGTCATTTGGGACAGCAGGAATGAACCTGAGGACATAATGTTACTTGAAATAAGCCAGACCCCAAAAAAACAACTCCCACAAAACGCCACTGCTATGAGGAATCGGTAAGTCAATTGCACAGAAGTTAAGAGTAGAATGGTGACTACCAGAAGCATGGGTGGATTGGAGGGAGGTGAGGAGTTGTTGGTCAAAGAATATATAATTATAGTTAGAGAGGAAGAATATACATTTTTTTTCCTTTGGTACAAGGATTGAACTCAGGACCCTGCACTTGTGAGGCAGGTGGTGGCACCACTGAGCTAAATCCCTGGTCCAGGAAGAACATTCTAAGTGTGTTCAGATTAGGAAAATATATAGAGACAGACAGTAGATAAGCAACCGCAAGGTGGGGGGAGGTGAGAAGGATAAAAACTGTTCAATTTTATGAATAGAAAACATAAGTGCTAAAATAAAAACTTCTTTTCAGGCATTTTAAATCATTTTACCGCCTGGATAATTTCTGTTCATCTATTGCAACCCTGTCGGCATCGCGGGAGAACATTATCACAGTGCTGGGTAGGGGAAGGGTAATAAGGGAAAAGAAAAAAATGTGAGAAAATGAAAAGATGGAAATAAAGTCTTTGTAAATGGGGAGGGGAGGAGGGGGTGAAGGGAGGGCAGGAACAAGGGGAAAAATGAGAATCACGACCTGTCATGTAAAGGTACAAGATCCCAATTATGAATGTAACTGTACTGCATACCTAAAATGTACCAATAAACTCAATGAGGGGAAAAAAAAGAATAAAAATAGGTAAATATGTGCAGAAAAATAAAAATAAAAATGCTCCTTAAGATCTAAGTCATTGATTCCCTGACATTAATATTCTTAGAACCACAATTTGAAAACTACTGAAGTAAATTCCCCTAAAAGAAATCATAGATTCACTGTTGTTTTTTGTTTTGCTTTGTTTGTACTAGGGATCACACACCGTGAGGCAGGTGGCAGAACCACTGGCAAGGATGTGACCTGAAAAGAATGGAAGGAAAGTACAGAGGGTTACCCATGGGTTCCGTGTTTCCAAATTCAACTAACAGACGGTTCAGAGTATTTGGGGAAAAAAATTTCTCTTTAGTTGTGTTTAATATGTACACAGTTTTTTTCTAAAAGCAATACAGCCTAACAACTCTTACATGCATAACATTCATATTGGATTGGGTATTCTAAGGAATCTAGGGGTGATTTGAAGTATATGAGAGGACATGTGTAGGTTATGTGCAATATGATGCCGTTTTATAAAAGAGACTTGAGCATGTGTGGACTTTAGTATACTGGAGCCTATCCCCAGCAGATACCAGGGGATGAATGTTTTTTTCAAACACAGAGGAAATAGCTTCAAGTTTATCTGGGAAGTGATATATGCTAAAGTTTTTCCTTTTATCTGAATAGAAACAGATATATAATTGGCCAACAGTTAGTAGCAGGTTTCCAGCCTAAGGAAACAGGATGAAGGGCCCAGTGTGGGAAGCGATGGCAGAGAACAAAGAGAAGTAGGCCCAGTAGGTTTCCTGATTTGACAGGGGTCACGTGAGTCAAGGAGCTGCAGAAGCTACCAGCAGCACAACTAGAGGGGACAACACTCAAGTGCTGGGAAAGGCCAGAGTAGGCCAACAGAGAAGACAGAAAGCAAATAAAAATGCTGAACAGGGAAGAACTATATGGCAAATATCTTATGGGAAAAAAAGCCTGAGGCTCTTCTTAGAGGAAGCAGCAATCAAAGGAATTCTATAGCAGAATGTTCCTCTGCAAAAAGCTATATTGACCAACTGTTCCATTTTTAAAAGCTTGACCCATTTTCAAGACTCTCCTGGAATCTGAATCACTGTTCAATCTCCAGTAGTTCAGAGATTGATGCCTGCTACTGTTCAAATTATTAAGGCCAAGTTAAACTTTATACCTTGGGAAAATTTAGCTCCATCATTATACTACATACCATGGGTTCTGTTTCTTCTGGAGGTCGATCCAGGGGAGGGATGTACCACTGAAAGCAAAGTTCTTTGCCTAAAGCTTGTGTTGCCATTTCTGCTGACATCTTGTCCACAAAATATTGGTTGGCAAAAGGCCTCAAAGATAAAACAGACTGTAGAGAATTGTCACGATATAGCTAAAGAATAACAGCAACAACAAAAATCTATGTCAGTTAAATTACTGATAATGAACTAATCAATATTTCAAGCAATTTAATTGGCTACACTGGAAAATTCTGGGAATTGTCTCAGCTTGTGTCATATGAAGGTAGATCTTAGAAATTTCCCTGGATTACCACAAAGTAGATTCTCCTAAATAAAAATATGCTTTCGAAGCTAATGAACTCAACAAATGTCTTCTACTTCGGTGAGCCTTCCAAAGTGAAGATCTACGGGGGAAAATGCCCATGCAATCATTTCAACCTAAGTCACCACAGTTTCCAAGAAATATCTTCTATTTTATTTCTTGTTTTACTCATTGGCAAATACAGTGAGGATGTATTGCTACCCTAATTTCCAATAGCACTGCCGTAAGCACAGTAAGACACAGTTTTTGCTCTGAAAGGTTAAAATCCCTTCCTCTCATTCCTTTTTGAAATGAATGTGGTGGACTGGTAAGTTTAAAACTTGGGCAAGTTTCTTTTGTGGAACTTGGTCATGTAATAAGGAAGGAGTCTTCCAGAAACATAAAGGCATGAGTGCAACTGCCCACTTTATAAATTCTTTTGTAAGGCAGCTAAGAAAGCAAAGCATGGTTGCTGCTTATCAACAAAATAATAGGCTAACCACAGAGATAATGATGGGGAAAACAATATCTCAGGTCTAAAAACAACAGAGTCCTAGCTATTTTAGAAGTCAGCTTCTCATTATTCTCAAGATCATAGCATAGTAGCTGGGAAGCAGTTTCTGTTCCCCTCTTTCTGACATTTGAGGCATCTCAAGGTTTGGGGATTAAGGGGAACCTGTCAGTGCCAGAAAGAAATGTTTTGTGTTTTATAAGCCCTTGTCCCTTCTATTATTTCTGAGTCTATTCAAGATATAATACGACTGTGAATACAAGTCTTCGAAATAAAATAAAAAGAGACACTGACCTTTCAAGTTGTCTACTGATAAAAGAAAAAAAAAGATGCTTTGACTGAAGGTAATATTAAATGTGAAAACTTTTAAAAACTGCCCAGACACATCATCATGAAAGCATATTATAAGCCAGAAGTCTCTCTCATAAGCAAAATTTTTATGGTTAAGTAGACATTAAAAGTGCTCAGTGAAGACTTACAATAAATGATTCAAAACATAATTTCTCATTTTTTCATATGCAAGTAACTTTCAGAGATTCTAAAAATTTTAGTCAAGAACTCATATTTATTGCTAGCTAAGCATAAAAAATGAAAGCAAATAGCTTTTATTTCAGTAAATGCAGCATCTGATAACATGATGGTCTAACAATGATTTATTGTAACAGAAGTCCATACGAAAATAATCATTTAATTTTCTATCATTTTAAAAATAGCATAATATCCAGTTGCTAAGGGATTGATTACTTATGATCTGTTTATGAGTATTTTTATATGCTGCCTTTCTACTTTGAAAAAAGTAAAAATAACAGACCTACTCCATGAACCTTAAGTTGTCACAGTTCTATAAACTACAAACTATTCTGTGCTATTCAAATATTTGATTTTGCACAGATGATCACGGGCAGGCACACAGTCTAGAAGCATTGTATACAATTTTAATCATCTTCCTTTTTTGGAATTTCTAATGTAATTTGTTTGGCACCTTTGTTTTTCCATCACAAAGCCCTAACACACTTGACAATACCCAGATTTATACAACTGATGAGCACAACATGGCAATGAACATTCTGGAAAAGCACCTACTTCTTTCTGGGGGGAAAAGCAGGTTGAAGTATCAAATTATGGAAAGAGTTTGATGGAAATAGCCTCCTGAGTGATTAAAGGCTCAAAAATGTTATTATAAAAATCAGCCAAGCTTGGCGTTTATATAAAAAATATCCAAAAGGCTTCATGCTCGTTAGCTGTCTACCCCAGCGAAACAAACACATGATTAGGTAGCTTGCACCTGCCAGGCAAGCGACAGTGATCTCCAGAGCTGATTATCTTGGGAAGGTGTTACACTAATTACATCAAAAAAGAGCAAACAGGGTGAGACAACTCTTTGATAACCCCGCTGCCATTAGAAATGCCGCATGTATTTGCAACATATTCAAACTTGTACCTCTGGATCATCGTCGTTCGGAACTGGGTCACGCATGGCAGGCTACCTACCCTTCATACAAAATATTCTAGCAGAGCTCCTTTCAAAAGTGTACTTAAGTAGTCACACATATTAGTTTCCAAAGTCTTCTCCAATGTGTGCAAGAATGCACCCAGCATTCTATTCTTCTCAGCCTTCCCATCCCCTGCCTACTCCTTCAAAACCACCCTGAGGTCCAGGACACATGATAGTAACCCTTAAAGGGAGTCTCCATTCTCAGGAGGGCTAATCAGAATCCGGTGTTAGATGGAAACAATCTCTCCCCACGGCTACTCTTTCTTCATACATTCCTGGACATCCCATGTCCTTACTCCTCTCCTTGCAGAGGAGTTACTTGATTGGTGACTTTGACAAAAATGAACTTTAGCGGAGTGAACATTCTCTGTTTCTTCATGCAACAGATTTTTAAGGGGCCTGTTCCCATATGAGGATGCCTAGAATGACCCAATGATACATCTGTCTACTTAGGTATTCATACAGTTGTGAATGTATACATAATAAATGATTTTTATTGAACGTTTATACCAAAGGTACAGAAATTGAGGAAGGTTTGGCTCTCAGAATAGTTTTACTGTTGGGTGGTGATACTGAAATTTGTGTAACTTCTTGGCAAAACAGCTGCCTGAAAGGTGTTGCTTTGTGCAGAAATCTAGAAAATCCTGAGAAAGTTTGAAGATTTTATTATAACAAGAAGACGGAACATTTAAAATGTGAACTGTCCTGAAAATCCTCCCTTTCTTGTCAGCATTTCTACATCATAAAACAGTAATGAGCTTTCTTAAGAACTCTGAAGAGCTAGAAACTTTTGGGCTAAGGTAGAGGTTAATAAGCTTCCTTTGGAAATACATGGATAATTCTAATAAATTTTAAATAGATATAAAATGTTTTAAAGCCTTACCTTGGCCGATGATTCATCTGAGGCTTTTTCTGAATCAGCCAGATTTTCCATTCCTTGAAGAAGTTCCTTTGGAAATTCATCGATACAAGAAGAAGAATACAGATGTAAGAATTTTTTAAGAAAAAAATGCATTTCTTTTTGGCGCAAAATCAGTTCATTGTTATGAAGGGATGTGAGAAGAGTATCATCCGGCAAAGAGATTCCAGATCCTGGTGTTGCAGAGGCTTAAGAAAAAAACAAACAAACAAACAAACGTTTATTTAGGCTCATGTTAGGAACATGAGGAATAAGCTCAATACCGTTGATATTTGCTCACCAACCTCCATGCTGTACACCCACAGGAGCTAAAGGCTGCCAATCACCTCTGTCTTTAGACCTCATACACTAATGGATCTACTTTTGCCTCAGAAAAGAAAGAAAATGTCAGAGCTGCCTATAGACACTGCTTCCAGTTTCAAGAATTAACAATGGAACTGTACATCGTGTCTTTCTATTTGGAAGGCCCCCCAAATGGACTCTTTTGGGTAGAGGTAATTTATCTGAAAGGTAATCTCGAGGATCACCAGTAAAGGGAGGGGTAAAGTAAAACACAGGAAACAAAGAAGAGTGAAGAAAGACAAGAAAAGAAATGGATGGGCTGCAGCCACAGACTACGAGGGCTCCATCCTGGTGGGACCTTCGCACAACCATGAAGAACAGTGCCCGCAGGAGACAGAGAAGACATTCAATGGAATGTTGCCCACTTCATTAGTTAAAGGTTCATCCTGGGTATGTGGAATCCCTGATACGTCCAGGGTTGGGGTGGCCTGGAGCTTCTGAGAAAGCCAGATCAGAAAAGCAGCCAGACTTGGATGCCTGCCTACTGTGAGAATTGCTGGCAGGTGAACGCAGAGGTGCATGGAGTTACTACAGGGCAGTGCATCTGGGGGTGGGCTACCTCGGTGGGCGTCCATGGCCTTCCCTGCTGAACTTCTCTTGCCCCCACCCCTTGACGAAACTTTAGCCCTGACACCTTTCTCGGTACCTGCCTGTACCACTGCTAAGTCCTGAGGACCACACGGCTGCTCTCTGACTCAACCTTCTCACGCCTGGGCTTCCCTGCCACTGGGCCCGGCATGGGTCAAACCGTCTTTTCTGATTGTTTGCTCTGGCCACGAACATCAGCGGTAGAGATGAAACACAATATATGTTATCAGAAAATGATGGGAAAGACAGGCGTGAAGCAGATTCCATCCCCTTTTCTAGATATTCTTTAGTGATTTAAAACATCAGCAACACCACCAAAAGTCCATAGAATTAAATGTCCATTTTAAGTCATACACTTCTTCTTTTTCTCATACTTGAATCTGGAAAACTCCCTAAAGCCTAAATTTTATCCTATTCACATTGTGATCAATGGTTCTTAATCATTTTGAGCCAAGGATCACATTGGTATCTCAAGAAGCCTGCGGATGCCTCCTATCATAAAATTTTCAATTTTATGAAATAAAATACGTAGACTTTCTAAGAAAACCAACTACAATGAAAGAGTATTCTATCCCAAGGTTTGTGTACCCCAAGTGAAGAAGCTTCCGAATTTTCATCTTCTGATGAGCGTTCACTCAGAACATTATGATTCTAAATAAGAAACATGCTCTAGACAAGAACTAGAAAGGAATACAATCTTTCTTGACACATCAAAGCATACCTAGCAGCTTGCTCATGTTATTAATTCTTTGCAGGTGTATATAGTATCGCAGCAGGAGGACCCACGTAATATCCACTTTGGTCTGAGTGTTTTCTGTAGCAACTGTGCCGTCACACAAATCATCATTTTGGTACAAAAATGCAGAGCAAGTCTGGAAGGTGACTTGGTAGTTGTCTGAAAGTTTAAAAAACACCATAACACAATGTTATGCTTTCCTTGAAAAACAATCACATACAGGAAAAGAGCATAACTCATAAAGTCTGACACAACCACACGTTCAATTAAATTTTTGTTGTTTCACAAAGATTCTAAACACAATTAAAAGATGAACAGTGGGCTGTGAAACAATATTTGAAACACACATGAATTATTTTTCTCTAATATATCCAAACAGTCTTGCACCAATCAATGAGAAAATTTCAAGTGCAATTCATAGCAAAGTGAACCCAAATGACAAAAAAGATTAGGCACACTAAAAATCAGGCAAATGCAAAGTAAGATGAAGTACCATTTCACATTCCTCAGGAATTGGCAGGCTAAAACCCCAAAAGAACACATATTACTAAGAATCTGAAGAAACTGAAATATTTATTATGCTACTTGTAAGAACAACTTCTTGGGAAAACAATTTGGTAGGATCTAATAAAGCAAAAAACTGCACATACTTGTAGGTGTACACAAAAGCTGGTCAAAGGTGTTCATGAGAGTTCTGTCACAGAGATTAAGGCTATTTTGAAAAATAAAACGAGGGACTGTTCATTTGATGTCATCTATAAGGAACGAATTCGAGCTAGAAGAAAATATAGTGTAGCTTCAGTGCCAAGCCCAGTAGAACTCTTCTCTAAAGTGGGTGAACTTGTATCTCCCTGTACCCAGGTAGGTCCTCTCTAAGCTTCTCATCTTTTGAGTCTTAATTTCCTCTTTTTTAAAATGGGCACGATGAGGGTGGGTTATAAAAAGACCTTGAGAACACACAATGAGTTAACAAGCAGGTTCCAGATGTTACCGAGGATGACGGTACTGACATAGCTCTGAAGGCGCGCTCGATACAGTTCTTTACATCCATCACGCACATGCCTACAAATACGTGTGTAACATGTGATTAGAGTAGTAATTATCTCTGGGGAGAGAAGAGATGGAGATGAAAGAAATCTATGAGTAAGGACCTGTGCATGTTTTCTTGAACAATAACATGAATTTCCATGTACGGAATAGTCCCAGGGCTTTCAACATTTATAAACTTCTCCCTAATTCCCCTTCCTTCCCTCTATCCAAACCCATATCCCAGAAACAATCACTGTTTACAGTTTTGTATTAATAACCTCATAGATGTTCTTCACCATTTAAATATGCATACTATATATAATAAAGAAGGTGTTAGTTTTATACTTTGAGAGCACTGCAAGAGAGAAACTTCATTATTTATCTTTTCCACTAAATGTTATATTTTAAAATGTTTCCAAGTAAAGGTAGATAGCTATAGTTCATTGATTTTGTTCACTGCTGTTTCTGCTGTTTGTACCCAATGAAAGCACACTATATATTCTATTGCTGAGGGCCATGTGAGCTCTAATTTTGGTTTTTTGTTTTTTTTTTGTCTTTGCTGTTTTGACAAAAGCCTTCTATGAAAAATGGAGCACACATTATTCGGCACATAAGTGCACAGATAAACTGGAAATGGGAATATTAGGTAGTTCTTCAGGGTTTTCTTTTTCTTCTATCTTGACTTTTTCTTTTCCATATCAATTTTAGCATTAGTTTTCCAAATTCTATAAAATAAAACCTTCTGAAATTGCTATCGGAACTTCATTACATTTACAGACCAATTTAGGAAGACTTCACATCTTACCAATATTGAGTGTTTTAACTATAAAATAGTATGTTTTCTTACCTTTTTTCCATAATATTTTAAAACCATTTCTTTATCATTTTTGTTAGAGTAATTAGAGGTTTTATGTTTTATAGCTATTATGGTCTTTTTAAAAATATGTTATCCATTTAAAATATATAGAAATAAAATCTCATATCCAGCAATCTTACAAAAATGTTCTTATTGCTACAGTTTTGGAGAATTATCTATATGAATAAGCCACAGCCAATGACAGTTTTTTTCTTCTTTCTCATTTATATACCCTTATTTCTTTTTTTCTCCCTTATTTTGCAAGGAAGAATTTCCAGAATAATTTTGGATCAAAGTGGTGAGTGACAGCATTTTTACTCCTCTTTTTAAAGAAGATCTTGCTGTATTTAAATACTAAATATAAGCCCAGTAAGTTTTTTTTTCCACTTGTAACTTTTTCAAGTTAAGGATATTTCCTTTAATTTTTAGTTTTAGATTCATCAAGGACTAAATTTTATGTAAGTTTTCTGCACTTCTTTGATATGATTATTTTTCTCTTTTAATCAGTTAATGTAATGGCTTAGTTCAACAGATTTTCTAATATTGAATTATATTTGCATTTCTGGAAATAATCCAATTTACCATGATGTATCTTTCAACGTGCTGCTTATCTTCATTAGTTATTTACATGATCAAAAATAAAATTTTCTCTCCCTTTGAAGCAAGTATTTTTAATCATTTCTACTTGTGTGCTTCTAAAGGTTAGTTACAGTTCTTAAAATAATTTCATTGCACCAATTTGTCGGTTTTATAAAAGTGTTTATTGACTTTCTTCTGTAACAGATGAGATACGAGCACGCACAAGCACTTCTCTGTACTTCCAAAATTTTACAGTTACATCACCACGTTTAGTTCCCCGATGTTCATTTATCAACCACGTTCTAAAAGCTTTCTCTGAAGTTCCGCTAAATACAGACACTATCTCTTGAGGTTTTACTGTGCGCCCCAATAGGACCTGCACCATTCGCTCCCTTCTTCTGCTAGGCTTTCTGTTTCGAGGTTTGTAACGTTTGCCTTCTGCTGTTCATAACAAACCCCAACTTGTCCTGTCTCTAAGTTGGAAAAATAACACCTCATTATGACGTCACGAGATCAGGGCACTTCCACGTGACCAACTTCTTCTGTGTCACAACCTTGTGACCACAAACTACCAGGTTCTCAGCGCGAAGATAAAGCGGACTGTTCTGTATCATGTCCTTTTCTAATTCGCTTTGTGTTTGGACTACGAATTCTTAGAGAATATTTCCCACTAGAACTTCTGTGCATCATGGGGTGGGGGTGCTGAGAAAAGTAATATTGCATTCTTCACCACATTCTTAATATTATCTGGCTTTTGGGTCATTTCATCTGCTAGAATCCATTTTTGCCTCCTGAAGACATTTTTGAGATTATTACGAACTTGCCATTCTGCTTTGTACTGATGAATTTCTAGCCTGCTGCAAAGTTGGCAATACTAAAGGCCCTACTCTTCCCTCTCTCCTATCCTCCTTATTTGCTCTTTCCCTTCCTTCCTTCATTCCTCCCTTCATCTTACATCCACTTCTTTCTTCATTTGCAACCTTGTATGCTAGGATATATCCTTAAATAGCATCCTAAAAAAAATAAAGAAAAAAATCAAAAATAAACCATTTTCACTGGGTATGGCAATGCATACTTGTAATCTCAGCACTCTGGGAGGCTGAGGCAGGAGGGTCACAAGTTCTAGTCTAACCTAGACAATTTAGTGAAACCCTGTCCCAAAGTAAAAATTAAAATGTAGAGGGATACATAACTCAGGGCAAAGACCCTTGGTTTAATCCCTACTACCTCAAAGAAAAAGTAAACCACTTACACACTCACAAGGCTTGTATACTTGTCACTTAGGTAAACACACAATTCTGGTACAGATTCATTTCTCTTAAAACCCCAAAGGCCTTGCTCACTGCTTTCTAGCCTCTGAGGGGCTAGATGGGGAGTCTGATACTAGCCAAGTTCTCTTCCTTTCCAGTTCACCGGCCCTTCCTCTCCAGTGAAATATTTTTAATCAACTAATTATCCTTCATGATTTAAAATTTCTTTTGCGGTCCAGATCTAGATGCTTTGTTTTGGGTTTTGTTGTTATTGATGTTTATTTTTTCATTAATGATGTTTGGAAAATGGTAGAACTTTTCAACTTGAAGACTCAACTCTCCCTTTAGCCCTGAAAAACTACTTTTATATTAATTTCTGTGATGATTGCTTTCTATTTATTTTCTCCCTTATCAGACACTAACTCTTGAGTGTCTATTAATTATTGGGAGAATTGTGAAACATTTCCTAACTCTCCTCTCTCTCTCTCTCTCTCTCTCTCTCTCTCTCTCTCTCTCCCTCTCCCTCTCTCTCTCTCTCTTTCTGTGACAGGTATACCCTGTAGTATTGTGAAGAAAGGTGGTCATTTCAATATATGATCCTAGGGTACTATATCTATGTGCAAAAATAAAATATTGACTTCAGGTTCATACTCAAGAATGAACTCCAGATGAACTGTAGTTCTAAATGGAAAAGGTAAAACAAAAATAGAACATTTTTGTGTAGAAAAAATTTATAAAACTGAAGACCTAAAGCACAATTCAAAAAAGATTTATAAATTAGAAAATATTAAAATTACAAACTTTGGTGACCTTACAATGCCATTAACACAATGAAAAGGCAAAAAAACAGTGGGAAAAATATTTGCAATCCATATAATATACAAAGCGATCATATTCCGAATATATAAAGAACTCTTCCGTATGTCTAAGACAAAGACAGAAAAATGTGCATTGTTCTTGAATAAGGGGTCCCCTCCAAAAAAAATCTAGCAATAGCCAACATACTTTATAAAACAATGTTCTATTTCTTTAGTCATCATGGCAAATTTTAAATTAAAACCACCTGGAGAACATCTGGCAGTGGCCACTAAAGCTGAAAACACATATGCCCTATGGGCTAGGAATTCCACTCTCTTGCACACACATCCAAATGTACACATCTGTGCACAAAATGTGATATGCAAGTACATTCACAGCAGCATTACTCACGACACCCCAAATGTTTAGCAAAGTTGAATGAATAATAAATTGTGCTACAGTATCACATCCACAAAAGGGATGAGTCTCACAAACAGAATGTTGAACAAAAGAAGTCAGACAAAAGGATTCAGACTGTGTTATTTCATTTACACAAAATGAAGAAGCTGGCCAAACTAATTTATCTGTTAGAAATCAGAAGGAAAGCGGTTAGTAGAGGCCAGAAAGGGACATGATACAGATGTCCA